GGGGCATGGGAAGAAACGCCAGCAGAGCAGGCAGAACAGCATTACCTGCTACCCATCTTGCCTGCTGGAGAGACCTGAGAGCCCAACCCTCAGCCAGGTCCGCTGCCTCACCTGGCTGTATCCCATCCCTGGACCGATACTACGAGGGTCTGGGTTTGGGGTCTTTCAAAATAGTAGGTGGAAGGGGAGCTGCTTTCCCTTAAAAATACAAAAAACTTCTGGGACCACTGACATAGATGTGATCAGACACTGCCCTAGTGGTCCTTAAGATGACACTACCTATAGTCAGGAAATGAGCAGTAGGTGCAGACCACCTTGCCAAGTTGGCTCAACAGAAGCTAACAATCACAAGACCTCTGAAAGAATTTGTTCCAAGGCTTCCCAGAGTAGGGAGGTGGGAAAAGAACAATAGGAAATGGTGGTAGTGCACAGGTTTAGGATCTCAGAGGTTAATAACAAAAGTATTGTTGGGGGGGTTGTTTTATGTCATAAATGTTTACATACACACATGTATCCATATGGGGTTCAATGTTCCAAATGGGGTTGAAAGGGGCGAGGGGCATGATTTTCCCCTAATAACGATTGATTCTGCCTTTAGATGGGTGTAAATTGTTCCGAAGGATCATAAACAAGGACCCACCAGACCTCCTTCATTGTACACGTGGCCCGAACAAGCAGGTAGCACACTTTACTGCCCAGGTGAATAAAGATCGTTCATTGTGGAGACAATGCCATTTCCTCCTTGTTCCCTCCCCTGTTTCCACTTTCACTTCTGGTCAAAGTCTGTGGCAGTTGTCCTTGCGCGGCACTGGGGGGGTGGGGGTGTCTAAAGACCTGGAGGGACAGTATTCCAGGGAACGAAGACCGAGTCCGTGAGGATTGCGATTTGGTGGGCAGCTGGTGAGACAGAGAGTTGTGTAGACGGTGTGGGGGTTGTTGCCCTCATCCTGCAGTTCCCTGGCCTTCTTTGTTGGCTGGGATTTCAAACAGTGACAGTCGAATAAGCATCCCATCGTCACTCAAGTCGCAGCCTTTCAGAACGGTGAGTCACAGAACAGTCTTATTCACCACTGATGTCACGGATTCTAGAGTCTGCCTTCATCAGGTTCCGCACTGCTGCCATGTGAATTCCATGAACAGCTTCAGCATTCAGTCTTCTGGCTTGTCCCACCTACACAGGGCATTTCAGGACTCCAGGATGATGGCCTACAAAGGAAGGGAGAGATTTACTTTGTATTAAAATCATTATGGGCAAATCCTTCAGGTAGGCCTTTCAGAAACAAACAAAAAGCCCCACCACCCCTCCACATGTTTCATGGGGTAAAAGGACATTGAAAATATTCATGAACCGAGCTTTAATGCTTCCTCTACTTTCCCACAAGAACTGGATAGCTGGATTGTCTTCCTGGAAATAGTCTCTCCACAGGCGTTCTATTCGTGCATGGCTAAAGATTTTTAGAATACACGTAGTCCCTAGGGCATTATTCCATTTATTATTTTCAAAAAGGGAGTTCTATATTTTGTTTCAGGGGATTTTTCTCATCCTAGTGACTCATGATAGGTTTCTCCTGATCTTACTTCCGACCTGCCTTTCTGAATCTTTCAATGTACCTCCCAAGGTTTGAGGAGCTGGGCAGGTGCTGGGTAATAGTTTAGACTTAGGAATTCTTTGGGGTACACCTCTCTGATCATCAGCTTCGGCTGCCATATTTTCCTTATGTCCCATTGTTTCCATAGGGAAGGTAGACACAATTTCTCTTTCCTCACTTCCCATTTTTCTCGCTCCAGCTGCTGCCACGGGGACCAGCAATTCCACCTACATTCTATTGAAGAGCAAATTCTCGCTGATCGCCAACACCATCGAGCCACTTCTGTTTCTCACTCCAGTGCTCCGCCTGGATATTTAGCCGTTCACCCTCTGGAGACACACAGAGTCAGCTCATCTGAAAGAAGTCATAGTTTCCCGAAGCAACCAAATGCCTCTCCTCACCCGTCTTTCTTTGGAAGAAAACATTCTTTATTTTCAAAATGTAGGAAGAGCCATCCTTCCCTTTATAAGCAGCCAAGTCGAGTTAACTTTGATTCTCAAATAAGCTTCAACAATTTAAACTCTTCCACAAACCTTTATGGAGCTAGGAACCAAAGCGTTTACACTGCCCCTAGACTAAGTATCATTTCCTGTTACCACAGTGCGACGCTTTTTGATATTCATCCAACGCATTCGAAACATTTTGCTGTAAATGAAATTGGAGTATTTTCTAGAGTCCCAGACACTGCAAAGACTCAAAAATATGCAAGATTCACTAATCCTCTGTGTAACAGACAACCTTTTATGAACCCTGAAACAAGAGACACTTCAGCCTTTGGAAGTATTGATGAAACCGCTTATTGCCAAAACACAGGAGTCTTGTTTTCTTATCCAATTGTTTCTTCTTTGAATTCAGGAAATAACATTGCCACCAATATTCAAGAACATCGGCAATTAAGTAAAGATCCCACGGGTTCCCTTTACTCTGACTCTCAAAGACATCATCCAAGTGACTCATCTTTGAGCGAGGCATTTTCTTCCGTTTGTAAATGCAATGGTTGGTTTACCCCAGGTCAAAGTGCAATCACCCTCTCAACCTTTGAAGATGGAAACGTTGCTGACTCACCTGGCCATGAATGCAGCTATCCACCGATGGAAATTCCTAAGACAAGGTCACCTTTGGCTTTATCTGCTCTCAGATGAAAGCACTGCTCTCTCCTCATAGATGGCCCTGGCTTTCCTAGCTAAGCTGCATTTACTGAAAAAGATCTTTACCCTGCAATCTCAATTAAGCTTTCATTGCTTTGCTTTGGTTTTTGAAAGATACTTTAACAGTATTTGAATATGGAAGTCAAATATTTTTTTCCTCCGTTTCAGGCCTTTTGCAGATAAACTACTTAGAAGCCCAAATTCAAACAAATCAAACCTACTGCCATCAAGTTGATTCCGACTCAGTGAGCTGTATAATGTTCCAAGACTGTAGATCTTGAAAGGAACAGACAGCCTTATCTTTTGCCCAAGGAGTGATTGGTGGGTGTGAACCTCTCACTTAGGGTTAGCAGCCCAATGCCAAAACCACAGCGCCATCAGTGGCCCTCGAATCCCCAGTTTCTGAGTGACTATATTCCCACTTTGTTGTGTGATGTGCAAATAGCATCGAGCTTTGATGTATATGCCTTCTAAATGCATTACACTTTTTGAGAGGATGGAACATAGGTCCCCAAACTTACTAGGCCTACTGCCCTCCTTTCAGAAAAAAATTACTCAACACCCTCCT